CATTCTCCGCTGTAAATGATATACTGTGGCAGTACTGCTTGAATTTCGGACGCTCTCTGGCATAGGTGGGTCCAGGGCGGAATGGAGGGAAGGGGGAGGAGATGGGCCTTTCGCCCCTCCCCTCCCCCTCCCCTCCCCATCTTTCGCACCCCTCACCGGCACAAGCACCAGTGCTACAAAAGTCAGAGTCTAAAACTAAAACTGAAGAAAACTCTCTTCCGCACCTCCTGTCGAGGGAAAGTGCCTCGAATGGGGAAAGGAAACAAAGGAAGCAAAAGACATACATAAATTTATGTCTTTGCGATGCCGTAACCTCCTTTGTAATAACGGTGCTGCCGTCAATCAACGGTATCAACATTAATTGTGTATGCAGTTCTTTTTGTGAGCTGGACTCAGCTGGCGCGAGGCGGAGCTCCAGACGGGTTCAGCAGCCGATTTTTCCGGCAAATTTTTAGTGTCAACATTTGTTTTCGTACCGACCAGACGCCGTCTACCAACATCAGGACGCCGTCCGCCAACATCAGACCTTACCTTCCACCGTTTTCTTACTGTTATTGCTATCGCATAAATATACCTATTGTTACCTCTAGTTGACAAGAGCAGCTGAGGTTAATTATAATAACAATAGGGAACCCAAAAAAAAAAAAATTCAACATCTGAAGGAAGCTCGTGTTTTCGCCACACCTCCCGTCCCCTTCCCTCCGGAGCCTCACTCCCTCCGGTCGTCGCCGTACCGGTGGATCCACTTTCTCTTCCCGTCCTCACCCTCAATAAAAACCGCCCTAGATCCGCCTATGCTCTCAGATAAGATTGCTGGAAAGTCCGAGGGTTCTGCGATTTATCATTCGACGTAATGTGCAAACAACAACGATGAGGTGTATCCATAACAGTAACATAAAATAAATTAATAGGCCATGGCAGCTTCCTTATATTCGGTTGGATCGGCCGCGAACAGATCCTCCAGCTTCCATTGCAATGTCTCGAACGTAGGCCTCTTCTCGGGCTCTTTGTGCCAACACTGTAGCATTATATCGTAGAGCGCCGATGGACATCCTGCCGGACAGGTCATCCGATAGCCTTTCTCCACCTGTTGCAATACCTCCGCATTC